TGAGTTTACAAAAAGTTAAAATAAATGGATTATAAATGGATAATTGGGTTTACGGCCAGATGCTGAGGAACGTTTTTCCACTGGGTACATTACTAATTCGAGTATCCTAAAATACGAGTCGAGTCTTTGAAGCTTGTACCAACCAACTAGCTCCTTCAGTTTATCAATGACTTGACCAAATTCCATCTATTTCTTTTATTTCTGAAGACCATCAGAAGCTAATTGTCCAGTGCCATTAATAGCCCTAATTGCTCAACTGCAGGTGAAAAAACAATTGAATTGTAAATACCAAGCTAAGGCAGCTGAGTTCTCCATCCCAAGGACGATACAAGATTAGAACCCTATGAATAGAGCAAAAGAAAGATCTCGTAATCGATGATCAAAATAAATCTGATTAATGACACTGATAAATATGTGTTACGACAGTATTACATTTTACAATTACATAACAATCAATGATATGCAGAAAACAGGACCAACAAGGTCAATCGACCCAACACACAACTACCAAAACCAGCATGGCAGATTCTATTTAAGATTTTCCACACATGACTTTCCAAACCAAAGTGTGAGAAGTGAACGGGTTTCCCAAAGAAGAGCTGGCACGCTAATGGGCGAGCTTAAAGTAAAGAATCAAAATTATTGCAATGACTAGAGCTGCAATAATGGAGCCGATGATCCATTTGTTTCTGCTCATCCTTCTTGACATGTTAGTCAGTATCTTCTTGCTCCTACTGATGTTGTCATCCACTCCATGCAGCTGCAAAAGAAGACAATTACTCAATTGTTTTGTCTCAAAAATAAGAGACACAATGTCAGCTTAGCTCATATTTCAAAGCAATTAAATGGTTTACATGTACTCCTTATTCCCAGAAGAGCATACAAAGTCAACTTATTTCAACAAAAATTTCATTACCTAGTAACACAGGTAGATAATAACTGGCATAACGTTTACGTTCAAATAGAAGAAAAAGAAAAGAAAATCATGAAGCTGCACACCAGTAAAAAACTTACATCATTACTTTTAATATGATGATTAAAGGAATCATACCGTATTATGGGCATGCAGGAGAGACTGACGTTGTTGATGTAAATCCTGAAGGATCGAAACTCCAAGATCTTCAGTTTCTAACATCACTTTCCGACTTTCCCTAATCCTGTCACTGGACTTGTTTAATCTCTCAGTTGACATCATCAACCTCCCTCTTTGATCAGCAGCTACCTAACATCACGTTTCAGTATTCCATCATGTAACATAGTCTCAAGAAACAATTAACACCCAAAGAAGTATCACCAAACAAATTATGTTGAGCTAGTAGCATTCGCACATCCTTTGACATGTAGAAACAGGGAAATCATATACACACCCCTTCTATTTTCTTGTACATCCTTTTAACTAATGGGGTTTGGGGAGCTAAAAAAAGGCTGTGTAAATAAATATCATTTCAAAAAATATTGGTATAATTTGGTAAAGCACATTCTGCAGCTTGTTTAAATTGTCTATAAATGCTAATTTCTGAACCGGAACAATAACAAAGTTCCAAGAATAAACACATGATGCAGATACAGATTACAGAAAGTCCTAAGAGAACAAAAACTAATTTTCCAACTAGTACTGGTAGATATGAGATCAAAGTTGGAGAATCTAAGACCTGGATAATTCTGTCATGTTCCTCTCACTTCTCACTATTCTATTTCTTCTTACAGTGCCTAGTTTTACAATAATTACTGGGTTTGGTTATTCTGTACCTTAACCGTAGCCCGCTAAACTAGCCAAGAAATGATATTATAGACCATATTTGCACTTGGAGGAGATGTAATTATTATTTCTTTTTGGCAAACAATAGCAGCATAGGAGTCCTGAGACAGCTTCAGATCGAAAAGCATTTGGTGAAGGCATAAACTGCCACCATTTATGCTAATTGTAATGGGCACTAAAATTCATTACTTCTGTAGCATTTAGGCTTCAATACCTAGTAACCCCTGATACACTCGCTAGAAAAGAAGGTTCAAAACAAGATGTCTATCCAAATGCATATTATACAAACAACACACAGACAACTCATGTCAAAATTTATCCTGTCCAACTGTAGACAAGCAGGGTGAAAGAAGAGTGAAGTAGTACAACTTATACAATACATATACAGTGACTACTATTATACATCAAAAGCTTATCAAATAATATGTCGATCGAATAAAAAGGTGATAACATTATATAGATGAAGAAGCCTATACCTTCAAGAAGAAATCATGAAATGTTTGTCAACTCGAAACAAGAGGCAAACGCTTCAACATATTGGACAATTTGTGTAACGAGTCAACAGAATAGGACTCAAATGATTTGTAATAAAAGATTGGAGGATACCATCATTGCGTCAGCCATGCCTGATTCTAGTAGTTCATCTCTTGCAGCTTGATTAGAATTAGCTGATGAGATTCTTTTTACTTCAGTCTTCAAATTATTCAGATCCGTTTTATACTCTCTTAACTTAGCAAGAAGTGAAGCCTTGACACTTGGCGGCAAACTTCGAGCCTCAAGGTCCATTTTACGAATCTGCAACATTAAAAAAGCAGCCACAGTCATCTTAAATCCTATACTGGGAAAAAAAAAAAGGAAGAAGTAGTTCCATCCAACTGAAGATACTATTACGTTACCAAAGCATCAGCATCATCCAATCCTGCTTTTACTTCAGATATTTTCTGTTTTTTCTGCTCTGCATATATTCAAAACAAGATCACAAAGGAAATCCCTATCAAGGAGGGGGGGAAAAACTTTGACTTGACATTTGTAAGCAGTGGAGACATATACACAAATCACTCATAGATCACATTTCTTTAGTTTGTAAATGGACCAGGTTTTGAAACATTGACTCCATTTATCTCCATCCAACGCAACAACAACAAAAGTTGCATCAATTGCAACTGAATTTGGAGCAATTTTTCCGATCCTCTGGCACATTTTCAACTCAATTCGACCTGAATTCTGCCTCAACTTTTGCAATTTGCATCAATTTCAACTGTATTTGGAGCAATTTTTTAAATCCCCCAGGGCACAAATTTAATTCAATTCAACATCAATTGACTTGATTCTAACTTAATCTCCCTCAACTTTTGCAATATTGGATCAATATTAACCTAATTCGTTACAATATCCCATTAAGCATGATTTTCAAAATGTTTAGCTCAAATTGAGCTAAGATTAGCAATTATTCAAACAAAACAAGCAGAGATTGATGCAATTTCAAAATAATTGGGATACTACATAATTACCACAACATCAAAGTCTCCAACATAAATGAACCCCAGCTTCAGCAGTAAATTCCTCGCAAACATACAAAATAATTAACAAAAACATTGGGAAGAGGGGGAAATTTTCTGACCTCCATCGAGGATAGTGGCAGTAGTGCATTTTTTGGATAAATTAGCCGAAAGCTCACAGTATTGCCTTTCGTATCCATCAAAAACCTGACTCATTTTCTCGTCCTCTTCCCCAAGTAATTACCTTCAACGTTAACCACCAAATTCAATCAATTTCTCAAATCAGAACCGAAATTTCTCCACAAAATTGTTCAAATATCATGCAAAATTTACATTAGAAACAAAAACTGCAAAAAGAAAAATGTAAATCAAAGGGAATCGAGATTCAAATACTAATTGAGAGTTGAGACGAATGGATCATTACCTTGGAAGTGATGGTGGATCTGCTGATCAGATCGAAAGAGAGAAAGATGAGAATTTTGGTTTCTGATTGATCAAACAAATCACAAGTCAAAAAACGATTGGGCCTTTTGGGAATAAAGGGAAAGTTAAAGGCTAGAAAGTTCTATTGCCACTCCCCGACAACTATTATTCGGGCAATACCAAATACTGTCCCTTTCGCTCAAACTACTCTTTTTGGCCAATATGAATTTGTGTTGATTTGACTTTTTCTTTCATGTCAATTTGTGTTGATTTATTGACTTTTTTCACGATTACTACACATAAATGAAAGTATTAATTGCATTTACTTCCTTGAGGTTTAACTAAATTACCAATCAAATTTTGAACTTTGACCAAATAGCAGTTTAACCCTTTGATAGTGCAAAAATTTAGCAAAAGTTCACTTACCGTCTCAAGGAATTAGAGCAAATATAAGTAAAAAAGTAACTCTAGAGCCCTAAAATGCCCTAATAAAGCCTATACTTTTTTTTTGCGGATACGATAAATTTTATTTTACACCACTCCTACTCTATACTAAGAGGAAGGAATGGATCCAAAAGAATCAACGGAAAATTCAAAGGAGACTGAACCGCCTATAAATTAGAGCCTATATGTTAGAACACAAAATGAAGCAATTTTAGAGCCCCAGAATGCCCTCATAAAGCCCATGTGTCATCAGTGGCTTTTCTGAAAGTAATAATCAATCACTTTTTCTTTTTTTTTTTCTCTTGAAATATAACAAAAAAATGGACCTTACAAAACAAAGAAAAGATTTTGCCAATTTTTTAGATAGACAATCGCAAGCTAAGAAAAGAAAAAATTACTACATATTAAGAGAATAATAGAATAATTTAACCAAGAATTGGTCAGGAGAGAATGATGTTATTGTTGAGCCGAAGGAACTGGTTGGTAATCATGATTTTCAACAGAGTTCAAACAATATCGGGGGTGCAAATTTCTTTTTTTTTTTTTTGGCCTGTAATGGCAACAATTTAACTTACTTATACTCTATTTGTAATCATCATGATTTTCAAAAGAGTTCAAACAACACAAGGGGTGCAATTTTTTTTTCTTTTTTGATTTGTAATGACAACTATTTAACCTATTCCTACTCTATAAGGTGAAGGGGGAATTTAAAGAAGTTTGTATAGGGGTAAGATTTGAATTTCGAACCTAATGTATAGAAGAACTTTTAAAGGTGCTCTTTTTTATTATTGGACCAAGGTCCAATAATTATACGGGGGTGCAATTTTTTTTTCCAACAGGGCAACATCATATTAATCACTAAAACTAATACAAGGTTAGAGCCTTCGCTCCTCCAAATCTGCTTGAGCTAGCTCTAGCAGCCATGCTGGGAAGTCACACTTCCATTCAGCTACATCTACCAAGCCTATAGCATACTTTGCTATGTGGTGACTAACAGAGTTGTTAGACCTCCTAGTGAAGGAAAAACAATATTTATAAAATTCAGTTTTTAACCGCCATATGTCTACCAGTATAGTAGCTATGCTAATCTCCTCCTCCTGTGCATTGATTTTGTCGACTACCATCTTACAATTTGATTCAAATTCCACCATCCTCCACCCTTTACGTTTAGCTACCACCATTGCCTCCCTAATCGCCAAAGCTTCCTCAACTTGTGCTTCTGCACAATTTGTAGCTGGACATGCCCAGGCTCCTACCAGCATCCCATTCCTATCCCTTGCCACAATGCCCCATCCAGCTTTGCAGGCCTGCTTGTGTAGAGCTGCATCAGTATTGATTTTGATCTAGTTGCCTTGTGGCCTCTCCCACCCCCTCTTTACCTCATCCTTTCCAAGTGTCTGTCCCACCTCCCCAGTCCTTTCTTCCTGAGCCAATTGGTACTCATTCTACTCCATTACTGCCTTGTTAACAACCGCCATTGGATCTCTACTAATATTGTTGAAAAGCTTGTCATTCCTAGCCTTCCAGATTTGCCACAAAATATGCACAGTGAGAACAATGTGGTCTCTTCCACTCTCCCTACCCATAGCCCCTCTAAGTTCTTCCCACCAATGCCAGAAGCTGTTGGTAAAAACCTCCAATCCATCCCAACTCAGTGGAGCAACTTTCCATATTGCTTTAGCTAAGCTACATGTAAAAAACATATGTTCTAGTGTCTCAGCTTGCTCACCACAGCACCTACAAATAGGATCACCTTTATCACATTTCCCCCTTATCACAGCATTTGTCGGTACGATTCCCTGTAGACACTTCCAAATGAAGTGTTTGAGCTTGTTCTTCATGTTCATCTTCCAAAGTAAGTTCCAGCACTGAGACTTATGTCTCCCATGACTACTTGATTCTAGCACTTCTTTGCAGTAGCCATTCCCTTTCTTCATCTCTTTTGCTTGTTTGTAACCAGACTGGACAGTATAAGCACCAGAATTAGTTTTTGCCCAATATACCCTATCTTGCTCCTTCCCCAGGCTTAAAGGTATCCTTGCTATATGAATTCTGTCAGTTTCCTCAAATTCCTGCCCCCAGCAACTCTTGATCCCATTTCCCATCTCTAATCAGCTCACAGACCCTTTGAATATTACTACCTGGCTTCCTCTGGGATCTTATTCTCCCATCCTCAGAAGCAGGCAGCCATCTATCTTCCCAAATTTTAATTGTTGCACCATCCCCCACCCTTATTCTCATCCCCTCTTCCAGTAAACCTTTAGCACTCAGTAAACTCTTCCAGCACCAAGAATCCTTCCCTCTCTGCTGTGCCTCCCAAATAGACTTCCCAAGAAAATATCTTGCCTTCATTATTCTGCTCATTAGAAGATCTGGTCTCGTCTGAATCCTCCATAGCTGTTTTCCCAGTAGAGCCATTTTAAAATCCTGCAGGTCCTAAAGCCAAGTCCCCCCTCTGACTTGATATCAGTCATTCTACTCCACTTGATCCAATAAATCTTCCTCTTATTCTCCCTCTGACCCCACTAGAATCTAGCCATCTCTGAGCATATATTTCTGCATAGTTCCTTTGGCAATCTACAGCAGGACATTACATAAGCAGGAAGTGCTAGAACCACATATTTAAGTAATACCTCCTTACCAGCTTGGCTCAAGAGCTTTTCCTTCCAACCTTTAAGTCTGTTAATAGTCTTCTGTCGAATGTACCCAAACACTGCCTTTTTGATCTCCTTATGACCAGTGGAAGTCCTAAATACTTACTCTGGTACATCTGCTGCATCCCTTCAAGCACCTTGAGAACTTCCTCCTTCTGCCTTTCCTTTACATTCTTGCTAAAAAAATACTGATGACTTCTCCTTGTTTATTAGCTGGCCTGATGCTCTTCCATATACATCCAATACCTTCATAAGCTGAGTAGCTTCAGTAGCCTCAGCACGACAGAATATGAGTGAATCATCTGCAAAAAACAGGTGAGACAGACTAGGAGCTTCATTAGCAATCTTCATGCTAGATAGAGTACCCATTCTATTTGCCTTTCTTAACAAATCAGAAAAACCTTCAGCATAGATCAGAAAAAGGTATGGAGAAAGGGGATCACCCTGCCTAAGCCCTCTAGTTGGCTTTATAAAACCCTTCTTATCTCCATTTATGTTGATGGAATAAGAGACACTAGATATACATTCAAGGATCCACTGAATCTATTTCGGACAGAAGCCCATTTTCTGCATAACCTTAGACAAAAACACCCACTCTACCCTATCATAAGTCTTAGACATATCAAGCTTTACAGCCATGTAGCCATTCTTACCAGTTCGTTTGTTTTTGAGGAAGTGAACACTCTCATATGCAATAAGGACATTATCTAGGATCTGCCTTCCAGAAACAAAGGCAGATTGGGACGAGCTAATACAAACATCCAGAACAGTCTTAAGTCTATTTGCCATTACCTTGGAAATGATCTTATAAAGGACGTTACAAAGACTAATAGGTCTGTATTCAGTGATTCTGGTTGGGCAGTCTGTTTTAGGGATAAGACTAATCATGGTTTCATTTATGGACCTAAGAATATGACCAGAATGAAAAAAGCCACGAATAGCACTAGAAATATCCTTACTAAGCACATGCTAGAATTTCTGATAAAAGATAGGGGACATACCATCTGGCCCTGGAGACTTGTTAGGATGCATGGAGTTAACTGCATGGCTGATTTCCTGATCTGAAACTGGTCTGGTGAGCATTTTGTTCATCTCAGCAGTAATGGCCAGTGGGATCCCTTCCAGAATCTCATCAAACTCAGTTGGGATCTCTAAAGTAAACAATTGCTGAAAGTAGTCTACCACCTCCTCACAAATCTCCTCCTCAGTTCTACACCATTCTCCAGTCTTCCTTTGAAGTACACTAATACGATTCTGCCTCCTTCTACTCATTACACTAGCATGGAAGAAACTAGTGTTCTTATCTCCCTCAGTTAACCACTTGACCCTGGCCTTCTGGCTCCAGAAAATTTCCTCCCTCTTATGCGCTTCTGCTAATTGCCTCTTCAGACCTGCAATCCTGCATCTACTATCACTGCTGCTACTCTCCCTCATCTCCTTAATCTCCCTTTTAATCTGATCAATATTTTGCTTGGCATTCATGTTCAGCCTCCTGCTCCAATTCAGCAAGTTAACTCTGACCTGCTTAATCTTACACTGTACCTTATAAAGCCTAGACCTCTGTTGGTCCCTATCCCAAGCTTCTCTCACCACATCCCCCACACCCTCTTGCATAAGCCATCTTTTATCAAACATAAATCTCCTTTTCCTTTGTTTTGCCACTGGGGTAGTGTCTAGAATCAGAGCACAGTGGTCAGAGGCCTCTGTCTCTATATGAGTACACTTAACCTTCCTAAAGTTATCACACCACTGCCTTGTTCCTATTACTTTATCAAGCCTCTCTTTTACCTCATCCTCATTGTCCCAATTGTTGCACCAGGTCCAAGGGACTCCCTCAAAACCAATATCAACCAGCGAATTCCTACTAATGAAATTGTTGAACTTCTCAAAGCTAGCTTCAATCCTAGCTCTACCTCCCCATTTCTCCCCATTAGAGGTAATATCATTTAGATCCCCTATGAGTGCCCAACAATCACCCCAGATCTGTTTTCTCATCTCAAGCACTTCCCATTGTTGTTCTCTCACCTTATCATCTGTACTAGCATATGTACATATATACCACCAATCCCTTTTTCCTTCAGAATCAGCCAAAAGCAGCTCTATAGTAAAACTAGTAAACAAAATTATTTTCACCTGGAGATTATTCCTCCAAAACGCAGCCAGACCCCCAGCAGTACCTACTGGATCTACTACAAACAAATCATCAAATTTCACCCACTGCTTAACACTATTCAAGTAACTCTTCTTCTTTTTTGTTTCTGCTAAGAAAATCAAAGAAGGGGAGTGGACTCTCACTAGTTCCTTAAGCTGGGGAACTGTCAAGGGGCTCCCCGCACCTCGACAGTTCTACACCAGAGCTCTCATTGGAAACTGGGAGCCCCATTAAGGGAGGGCTCCACCACCTCAACAATCATCATCCTGTCATCAGTCATTTCCCACAGCTTAGCCTTTTTCCTGCTTGCACCCCCCTCTGTTCTTCTACCTGACTCCCTCCATTCTCATCCTGTTTCCTTTTTCCCACATCCAGCTCTTGCAGGGGCTTCCTTCTACTGACTTCCCTCACTATTATTTTCCATGATTTACTAACTCTATAATTCCCTATACTGGCATTAACAGCTTTAGCATTGTGGTCTACTTTCTTCCCCCTTCCTCCTCCTACCTTTCCCACTCTACCCTCTCCTATCCCACCCACATTCTCCCCATCCACCCACATAGAATCCTGCCCACTGTCACCTTTCTCACCCTTCCCTCCCTCAGGTATTGTTCCTTCCTGACACCCTCCATCCCTGCCTTTCTCTGTAACTTCCTTGACATCCTCCTGTATACAACACACCCCCTGACTCTCCTCCCTCCCTATCATCTGCTGTCCCATCCCTGACATCCCTAACTGCTCTGCCACCTTACCAACTGTTCCTTCCTCATCAACCACACACAACCCCTCACCCCCTGCACCTGAGGAACCTGCTTTTCCAGTTGAGCTATGGAATTCCTTGGTGTATGTTAACATAGGGTAATGTGGACTGCAACCTTCTTTATCCAGACTGGGCTCCCTATCTACCTCTTTTTCTGGCTGCTCTTCATCCCTCCCACTCCTAAACTTCCTCCGAGGACTCCTTGGAAAACTAGTCCTTAGCCAGTTGCCATACTGATTCTCCTTATCCATATGCATCCCCTTCCTACTGCAATTTCGTTCAGAATGGCCTATTAGTCCACAACAGAAGCAGAAGTCAGGGCACTTCTCATACTTGAACTCAATCCATCTTGTCCCTCCATTACTTCAAACCATAACCCCTCTAGGTAAGGGCTTCCTCAGATCGATTTCAGCCAGTATCTTCAGATGCTTACCATCCTTCCCTCCCTCCTGTGGAATAATGACCTCCCTAACCCCCTAAAAAATTCCTCCTATTTTCCTCCCTGCCTCCTTCGCTGCCCAGTGAAGATGAATATTCCAAAACTGCACCCATACTAGAGTCCTACTACAAGCCTCCTCCAGATCTGTCTGCCATTCCAACAGCACTAGAGGCTGCCCATCGTATATCCATGGTTTTTTACTTAACACAAAATCAATATCCTTCCTAGACTCAAACACAAACTGAAACATATTGGCTCTAATCTCTGTTACTTTTAAATTTCTTACCTGAGGCCACATGTTATTTGCAAAACTCCTCATGCCATTGAAGTTGACTTGTTTATCCCCCCAAACTTTACCAATTAAACTCAACCTACATTCCTTTATTCAATTTGCCAGATCCTCAGTCCCCAGGCAAACTCCTTCCCTTTCATTCTCCGACAAGGAGAATTTCCTCAAAACCTCCTCTATTCGCTCCATGACCACAGATCCCACCGCCTGTACTGCTTTGATTTTCAGAACCCTGCAGCTCAGTCCAACTCAAGGAAACACCACCGTTCCTCCACTTCCCGTCCGTCGTCCCCACAGCCAGGCAGTATGATCCAAAAATCTGCTAGAAAGAGCGGAAGACCTGAAGAACACTAAAACAAAGGAGAGTAAAAAACACAAACCAGAGAAAGAGAAAAAATAAGACGTCAACTTCTATTTCCTTTGAACCAGTAGAGTGAACTCATAAGACTATCAGCTCGATAAGCTATTGCTATGTTAGCGTAGGTGGATGTTCTTAGTTTGAAAGCTAAAGAGGGGATGAATCGCTGCAATGGTTATGCAGGACTCCATTAATCTGATGAATAGAACTAAAAAAAATGGGAAAGTTTCACGTAGCTTTCTGTTATTTTGGGACTCGCAGAAGGAAAAATTTGAAAAAGTTGTTAGGAGAACACGACTCCCACGAGAGGGAGATTTCTCTCTCTAAAAACGAGAGAAAACACTCTCAAAATGAGAGACACCACTCCAATAATGGTTTTTATTTATACGGGGGTGCAATTGCTAATGCCTTTTTAGTTGGGCAGCTGGTTGATCCTAATGTTATCACGGCAATCGCGAAAGAGCAGGAAGGTAAGGGACCTGAAAAAAAAAATTCAAAGCGTGAAGGTGGTCAAATAAAAAGGTCACATGGAGGATGACAGTCGTGGAGTTGAAAACATTCGGGGATGGGAAAGTCAACTCAAAAGTAAATGAATCTACAAAATGATGAAGTGGAAGTAGAAGGAAATATTGTTCAAAACATTTTTCACGTCTCATCAAATAATTTTTTTTTGTCATTTACTTTAAATATTAATTTTAAGTCCTTTACGAGTTTAATTTAGCACAATTTGGCTCATTTGGCTCCCAACCTAAATTTTCAATCACTT